ACCAGCCAAGATGTATGGACTTTTGATTAACAAGGAATCTATGCAATTCTTTCTTTCTGCCTATACATCTGTGATGGGAGCACAGAAAACAAGCTTAGAACTGCTCTAATTTTTGTAGGATAACATGGAGTTTTGGGCATTGGGATCAATTTAGGGCTGATTTCAGAATAACCTAAAATGAAAACTATTTTTGAACTTTGCTGTTATCTGGACCAATAAAAACACTTTAAGCCTTGGGATCTGTGCTAGATTCGGTCGTGCCTTTAGGCAGAGTTCCATCAGGTCAGGCCATTCTGTTCTTTACTTGATTCATCCTACCCTTTATGTAGCACCCTGTACACTCGCAGCATTATATAACCAACATCTAGATTTCCTTTCAAGTTTATTGGAAAACACCAGTTCTGCCATCTTTCAGAATAGCAATGTCCTTGGAAACAAGAGCTGCCTCCGATAGAGTTGGAATTGCATTTCTCAAGTCTTTCAGTAGCATCTCTCCATTGTCAGTCTTTGTGGATACCGAAGAAACAAATTGAACCTTATTCAATAAGCATTTATTTCTTCCACTTCCATACACAATGTCTGGCAATGTTTTTGGAAGCTATAGTATGTACACTGTTACCCAGCTATTTTGTGTCTACTGAAAATAAAGAAGCTTTACCAGTAGGGTTACCATACATCCAGTTTTTACCGACATGTCCGGCATTTTGGTAATCAAACCCCTGTCCGGGGGGAATTTCCAAAAAGCTGAATATGTCTGGGAAAAATACTTCTCCTCCCAGGCTCCGGGGGCACAGGGTCCAGAGGCATGGGGGCTGCCCGAAGCCGGTAGCGCTTGGGCAGCTTGGCGCTTACAGAGCCCAGGAGTTCAGGGAGCACAGCAGCTGCCGGAGCCCGGTAGGGGAAGTGCCCGGACAGGGGCGCAGGGTCCGGAGGCATGGGGGCTGCCCGAAGCTACCGGCATCACGGTTTGCCGGGCAGCCTCCAGACCCTGCGCCCCCGGCTGGACGCTTCCCCTCCCGGGCTCCAGCTCCGCTGGGGAAGTGCCGGCCAGGGGCTCAGGGTCTGGGGGCTGCCCGGCAAACCGTGAAGCTGGTAGCGCTAGGGCAGCCCTTTTTGCGTGGCTGGGAGGGAAGAGGGGGAATGCAGGGCGCTCAGGGGAAGGGGCGGAGTTAGGGCGGGGACTTTGGGAAAGGGGCGGGGAAGGGACGGAGTTGGGGTGGGGCCGGGGGCGGAGCCAGGGCCCCATGGAGTGTCCTCTTTTTTAATATTTTAAATATGGTAACCCTATTTACCAGGAAATAATTGGATTTTATTTCCATGGGGTTCCCAGGCTATTTTAGTTAGGAATGTAAATAACTAGCAATGGACAGAAATTCATTCTCCCTTCAGTTTCTCTACTTGCTGCGTGGAAAGCTATGATAAAGTAGGTTGCTGGAGAGCCTCCAACTAGAACACACTTTCAATATTTTTAAATACATAAAAGGCATGAAACCTTCTTGAAGCAAATTTGACTCATTTTGGCAGTTATGGACACCTTTGCTAAAAGCTGATCCAATTTGCTTTGAAAACAAGATGATCCTTAGAGGTTCTACTTATAGACTGCATCCCCCATGTATCAATAGCCATTTCCTATGAAAAATGGTATCACTAATGTTTCCCATAAAACACTTACATACACACACAATTCTCTCTGGCATCTCATTCTGTGGTTTGTAGGGAAAAAAATTCTAGTAGACAGACTCTATGACACAATATAAATGTACTAAGTCAAACTGTTCAACACTTTTATATGAGAGGATCTAGAAAAAGCTATTGTGGGGACCATTAAAAAGTGAATATCTATTGCAAAATTGCTTTGCTGTGGGGTACAGTCTAAACACAGAAAATATCACAGTAAAGACAATATTATGGTACATGTCTTACTATTTAGTTGCACAGAGTTGAACTGGCTCTTGAATTCATGCATGCAATTGATACTATAAGGCATTCTTACATTTAGAGACAGAACAGCATTTAGAGAATTGACTAAACTACATACAAAATACGGGAGTACTGCGAGTGGTATAGCACAGCCCAGGCCATATCATTCACTGAAATGATTACAACAGTTCATATTAAATATTTCTTACACAGCAAAATAGTACCAGAGCTCCTTGGCTACTCTCAAATACTCAAAGCTCTTTGTTTAGACAGTATTATACTTGTAAATCCCCTTTGAATGTTGACAACTTAAGCAGATATTGAGAATGCTCAAAATTACCACATGAAAGTGCACACCTATGGTCTGATAAACTCACAACTTCAGCTGAAGTCAGTGAGAGCTAGAGATGCTCAGCCCCTCAAAGTTATGCCCCAATATTAGATAGGAATGAAGAGAAGATTCTTTCAAATGGAGGGGAAAAATCTGATACCAGATATAGTTTTTTCTCAGAAGTCTCTGCATAAGGATCAGAAATTCTACACTCAAATACAGTTACACCATTTTTATACAATACATGTTTAATTAGCTTTAGAGCAGTTTCCTTGATAACAAACATAGCAATCAAGTGAAAGTTTGCATTTTCAAAATACACATCTACCATCTTAATCACCAATAACCAAAGCCTGGCTATTTTACAATGGTCATAGATTATTTACATCTCTTCACAATCAAGTTATTCTGCATCATGTAACTTCCAGTTCCTGTTATCCTTTGATAGTGCTACAATGTTGGATAAAAGAAGCTACACACACAATCTTTTTTATTTAAAAATATTCTTTGAGAGCTAAGAACCACCATCTACTACTTTTCCTTTGGAAATCTAGTATGCTCTCTTCTTCCTGAATTAAACTTTTCCATTATTTATGGAAAGATTAAGTTACAATGTTATGAAGCTTCAAGTCTTCAGCAGTTTCATTGGACAGACAAATGACATACTATAAGGATGAATTAATTTTGTCCATTTTTATTGGAGCAGATAGTGATCCATAGATCTGCACCTGGAAGAGAAACCCTACATTCCTGGATCTACCCAGGGTCACACAGTAGAAAATGTGCCACCCCTTCACCATCCTGCCATCTCCTGTGCCAAGACTACTCTGTGGAGGAAGTTCTGCAGATCCTTGCACAGGGGAAAAGATGAGAGTAAGAGACACTGCACACTGTCTCACCCACCAGGGCCGGCTCCAGGCACCCAAGCACATGCTTGGGGCGGCACCTGGTAAGGGGTGGCGGGGGAGCTCGGT